GTTCTTAAAAATTTGTAGAAAAAATTGCGTTGGTAAAATCAACGAGTTTGTAAATACGGTAAACAAAACAACACCATTAAAACTACAAAACTACACTATTAAAACTTATTTGTAAAATTTAAAAGGTAAATGGACATTCTATTTTTCTTAAACTCGAAGTATAATTTGGCAAATATAAATTGTCCCATAAATATATTCCGTGCGCTATTCTGATGGGTTGCCTAGCCGCTGCCAAGCATTGCTTTCTTCCTCCTCCTGCTGGCGAATTTGTCATCGTCTCAGACAATCAGCAGGAGTAGATTCATATGGCGGTCAGTGGTTTACAAAACCAGCGAGTGAGTATAGGTATTTTCATTGTTCACTCAAGTCAACCTCGTCCCCAGGGTCTTCTTCGTACATGGCGCGCGAAAAATGAGAAGACCCTGGTAAAGGCTCTAAGACTGAATACGCGCGAAGATTATTTTACTACATGGGTGCAAAGGTGTATAACGAGCTCTCACTTGAGATTCGTAAAGGCCCATTTACACGGTACGATTAGTTGTATACGATTCTTACTCTGGCGTATGTGATCGAATAAACACGCGTACAAACGTCACATTTCAAATTTCGCCATTAGCGAATGAGCAATAACGTGGCATTAGCACTCGTTTTCATTCGTCAGAATGACAATCGTATACAACTAATCGTATCGTGTAAATGGGCCTTAAAGCTGAGAGTACAAATGACTTCGAGAAACAGCTGAACGAACATTTCAGAAATCCGTGAACATGGACACTCTAACTCTATAGATTCATATTATCTTACCTTTAATTTTTTGTATCTATATTTAGTGCATGCGTAAACACAAGACACACATTGATAACAGCAGTTTTTACTGTTGAAGTGTCTATTCTGTATAAATATTCGTTATATTATTATTATTATTACTATAAAATCTCCACGATTCATGGACATTTTAGTGCATGCGCAAAAGCAAATTTGCCTTGGCGCTGACCAATTCATTGCTGGCGTGCAAATTTTTTATGGCCTTCATGGCTAAAAAATTTCAGTTTGGAAATGGTTTTTTTTTTGCTAAAATATACGTCTAGATAAGTAATTTCTTTTCAAAAATTAAGATGTCTAGAGAGAGAAAATAACAAGAAGCTAGCACGTCTAATTTTTATCTTCTTGAACGAAGAATTCGCGTTGTTTGTCATGGCTGCTTGCACTGGCAGTCTGACAGCAGTAGTGCTGTCACTGTGAAGGTAATTGAAAAACTACAATATATTGTTGTTATTTAATAAATACTCTAGCATATAATACTGTAATTTATACTTTATTCCCTTGGAGCATGCAAAGTGCTCATATGTGGAATAATTTGCCTTAGATCCACAGCTCTCAAATAGGAGATGATTTTACTCGATAAGGGGAAACAGCTAGCACTCTATGGGTTAAAACGGGTGCAGTGGTTATATCAATAATAGCATATTACGTACATACTAGCATACATACTCGTAAATATTTCCATTCAAATTAGCTGAAGTATTTCATAAATAATGGTGTCGTATTAAATAATTCTTCCAAAACAGTTAAAAAAAAAAGATATTTGACACAAAATTATTTTCAGTAAATCCAGTATACCCATGTATTGTTTCTCCGTTGGCCAGCTTAGCATTAACAAGAGCAACTAATTAATGTATTTGTACATCAGTCAACTATATGAATTGCCACCGTATTCAAGCATATTGTGACCTATCTTTAGTTATAATATGTGCTGGGATATTTGTGCATGGCCTGTTATATAGATGACCCACATTTTTTTCAATTGCCAATTTAATCTATAGGCCTACTCTGGGGCGGTAAATCGCCTTAAATCGCCTAAAATCGCATTAAATCGCGAGTTAAAATGGTCAAATTTCTCTTAAATTGCCTAAAATCGCTTTAAATCGCCTAAAATCGCCTAAAATCGCTTAAAATCATGGGCGTAATGGGTGGGGTTGGGGGGGGGACAGGGCGACCGCACACCCAGTTTCTGGCTGGGCGGTCGCCCCCTGGCTTTGTTGGGCAAACAAAGCCAGCCGGGCAATATTCGCTTCACAGTCGGGCAATATTGGTTTATTATAGAAATAAATGGGACAAATTCTGTCAATTTTGTGGGAAATTCTGTCAATTATGTGGGAAATATGCTATCTAATAGGAATTTTTTGTAATCACTTCTCCCCCCCTCCAATCACTTCTTTCCAACCCCCTAATATTTTTCTTCCCGTACGCCCATGCTTAAAATCGCATTAACTCGCCAACATGTATTCTGTTTGATACATTCAGTCAATAATGTACTCAAGTTTATCAATTGCTGCTATTTTGCTGGCAAATCATGTATAATCCAGGTGTTTTGCAATCAAAAGTAATGCAACATGGATAAATCAAATAAGTGGATTAGGCTGACAATATTTAGTCACTCAATAGGCTCCGGTCGTTAATAAAAACAGAGCCTTTTTCTGCTTTATGCAGACTTTACAATAATAGGCAATTCTGGGATATGAAAGACCCATCAGTAGATTCCATTACACTACCAGCAACAAAATTGAGTTACTGGTTAATTTCATTATTGGTGTAAAATGTGGAGGCTGGGCCGGTCCTACTAAAGAATGCCCTGGAATGCCCGGGAACCCCCGGGGAGATTCGTTGAATGTCCGGGAATTGGGAAAGAATGCCCGGGGAAAATTACGTGGACTATGGTGGCTGGGCTACAAATTAATCTATAATATACATGGCTTCTCAAAGCCTAATTGTCAATGAGTACGAGTATATAATAAGGTCATCCTGCAATTTGTGCACTGTTGCATGTAGATCGAGCACTGCATTGTATACAATGGTTGTACTTCGACATGTGCATGGTTATACTCTAGCTCCTAGTTATAATTATATTGGCTATCATACAAAAAACATACGTGAGGTTTAATATGAGCGAGATTTGCAAGTTTTGCAACTCTCATCTATTAAATTTTCCAGACCTGTATATAAAATAAACAGTAAAACAATGATTACATCGTACATACCATACAATCTTTGTTGTTGCTTGTTTGCAGAACACTTGACAAATTATCAGGTAAAAGACTTAAAACCACGATGTAGTGCGCGGTGTGCCATTTGTTTAATATCATTTTGTTTAGTATTTTTTTTTAAATAATTTAGAATTCCGACCATTTATATGCGATGTACTTCATACAAATTAAACTTTACGGCATTACGCCGACAGTTTCCGAATGCGTGACAATACTGTTTCAAACTGTTTCTGGATATAGATATCAAACATAATTTTATAAAACATGTTTGTTGAAACAGTTTAAATAAAATGCAAGCTAAATAAAGAAGTGCCGACAAGATACAAAACAAGACAATTTCACTTATAGGAATATAGCTTATTGTAACTGTATAAATATATTGTGCGTTTCTACTCCCTGTGGGCTGTGGTTCTTTTGGAAATCAAATATCTATTATATTTTGCAATTAATAATATTAAAGTTTAGCCTAAGACATGTGTACTTTAGTTATAGGTTGGTATTTTGCCATTATGTACCGTACATGCCCCTTAAGTAGAGTATATTTATTAACTGTTTCACTTGTTTTGTATTTTAACTGTTTACAATATTTGTGGTATATAATGTAGCCATGAATGCATGACCACATGACCCCACAAAATGAACTCCAATGGCTTCTAAATAAGACAATGGATGAAAAGTTCACGAATATTGAGCTTTATATATGATTCGGGTTAAATACAATAATTATTAACCTAGCTTTATATAAAATGTACATACATGTTCTAATAATTGTATTTTCCTTCATACAATGTATATGTGTCAATGTGTGTGAAAACATTACATTATTCAGCTCACTCCCCTTTGGGGCTTTTCAGTCACCGCTTACATCAAGTATTAGGGTTACTTATGTTAGTCTAGACTATATATCTTTCTAACAATGAGAATATGATATCACTTTTCTAACTGTGTTTATTCTAACCCACCCTGCCATATTTTGCCTTGTGGGAGGACACCAGAGCAAAATATAAAATTCAATTACCTTGAAAACACAGGTCTAAATTGCAATCCCTAAAATTTAGAATTTTCTCTTAAATCGCCTTAAATCGCCTAAAATCGCATTAAATCGCAGTGCTTGAAAGTCCCAGTTTTTGCTTAAATCGCCTAAAATCGCCCAAAATCGCATTATATCGCAGCGATTTAAGGCGATTTACCGCCCCAGAGTAGGCCTATCTATCTGGAGAGTATACATTGTTTGGATAGGTGCTTTATGTTTTCATTGCTACCTGTAATTGTTTGTTAAAGGGAAATGGTAATATAAATTTTTATTTTCTCATTTGAAAAAACTTTTGAAATATATATTAACTTCTTTTACAGATTTTTCATATCTTGCTTAGTTCTTGAAATATTTTCACTTGAGGTAATGAGATGTCCGCCATCTTGGATATATTTTTGGTCTCATTAACGGTAGTTTTCGTGACGTCACAACAGGGATTAACTATAGACGTCACAACAGGGATTAACCATTGGTAGATGTTTTAAAGGTTCTGAGTGATCTTGATATTTCAAAGGGCAGACAGAGTAAAGTTTTGAGTGCAAAATGATTAGAGGTTGTCTAGATAAAAATATTGCGAGACCCCTGTTGTGACGTGACATGCATATCTACAAAAATCGAAGATGGCGGACATTTCATTCCTTTCGATCAAAATATTTGTAAAAGTAAGCAAGATATGGGAAAAACGGTAAAATAGTAGTATGTATAGTCTTAAAAGTTCTTTCAAATAAGAAAATAAAAAAATATATTGCCTCTTCCCTTTAAAGATATATCAAATATCTAAACAAGGTATCTTTCAACGTTATATTTCGACTTCAGATTTATAAGGTACTTGTAGACATTTTTCGAAATGTGTACTTTGGATAGAACGTCCAAACTAGACTAGCTACTCCTAGTTCAGTGGAATGAAATGATTTGTGTCTTCATTTTCAGCCCGACATGGCCTGCAGGAAATCTTCTCCCAGCAAACAATCCACACATGAACCACCCAAGAAGAGGGGAAAAAGCCATCATTGTGACGGCGTGCCCAAACCCACCAAGGAAGCTCTTTTAGACGCACTGAAAGGTGTGGAAAACGAGATTAAGAAACTTGGAAATGAGTTACTGGAAAAGAAATTAGAAAAATTGCGCGGACAAGTTCGAGGTCTTTTGGAAAATCAGGAGAAAGAAATTAACAATCTTCGGGGCGAAATACATACTTTAAAGAAGGAAGTGGACAGGCAGAAAGCCAAAAATGAAAAGTTAGAAAAGGTGCTCGTGGTAGCGCAAGTAACCTGGTTGTGGGAAAAACATTTGGCGAGGTTTGTAGTTGACTCATCCAGAACAATCTACCAATCTGGTTGGATGGATCAAATGGAAGACTATTTGAAGGAAATGAATACGAATCAAAATCGCTTTACTAAAATACAAAAAAAATTAAAAACAACATGGACAGAAGAGCATTGGCAAGTGGTCTTCACTGTAAGAAACGAAAGAAATGGTATAGCACATCCGGATTTGATCGACCTTGACCTCGTTGAGTCTCAATTAAAGAAAATGTACCCAAAACACCAAAAAGTGTTGGGGGAGATGTTGGACGAACTTAAGATGACAGCAAGTCTAATGAAGTTTGGACGTCTGGCAGATTTCTACGAAAAGAACAAGAAGCTGTTTCCGACTCAAAGAAAGCGTGGTAAAAGAGTGGACGCAGATGCACTGAAGAACATAATTTCGTGGAATTGTAAGTTTGAACAAATCGATGGTCTACAAAGTATCGAGCACGAGGAAGCGAAAAAGTACTTAACCATGTACGTAGATAATCCCAGAAAGATCGACCACTATTTATTCATCGTTGATTTTATCAAGGATGGAAACAGTAAGCGTTTGGGAAAACTGGCCTGGGAGTTCGAAGGTTTACCCACAGAGTATGGTGAAGCGCTACGAGAATTAAAGAAATTGCTCCCAAATCCAGACGACGAAAGCGAGGATACAAATCTGGATAAAACAATAGCAAAGTTGCATATACCTGACTTCCTACCGAAGCATTTGTGGAAGGATGGCATCGAAATCGTGGAGAAATATTTTGAATGACCCTCTAACATAATAACTTGATTTGAAACTATTTTTATTATTTATCTAAAAATAAGCACAACTTCTTAATTATAAAAAGCAAACATCATTAATAATTCATAAGCTTATTGGTAAATCATGTCAACCATAATATGGCACGTGCAGTGGCTTTAAACCTGATAAAATACCCCTTATTAGTATTCTTTATATAAAGAATACTAATAAGGCAGTATATCTATTCATAGTTTTTCAAAACATGGTTTGGAAACTCCGCTAAAGTCTTATCTTTTTGTTTGCGTTTATGCAGTTTTGTGCACGGTGCACGGTCAATGAACACGTTGTATTTTATTATAATGAACGAATCATCCAATATCAACGTTTCAATACAGTCATTCAACCACGCTATTTAAATATTAATAAACCTAAAACAAAGGATGTGCACGGTACGGCTCAACATAAAATCCCGGCTCATTATAACTTTGCTTTAAAATTTACTGAGTTTCCAGACCATGTCTCGAAAGACTATGATCTACATTGAATTTGCACTAGACGTGTTTGAAGCCGATTAATAAACTCGCAGGTCGTGTTTTAGTAGGTCTAAACCTAATAAAACACTCCTGCTCGTTTATTAAACCGTACTAAATACATATATATAGATGGGGTTTTTCTAGATGGAGTTTTCGAATGAAAATAATTATATATACAATTTTAGGCCCTTCGGCAGGAATCGAACTTGCGGTCCTTGCGATTGCGGTGTATTTTTAGCAGCTGCTCCCGCGGTTAGGTCTAAATTGTATACAAATTTTCGTTTAAAAATTCCATCTACATTCAGTTATATCGCACGAGATACCCAAAATCTTGGTAGTAAAATATTTGCTGGCGACAAGTGATTGTTCAATTATTTGACACCTCAGCTACGAGCCTGTGCTCTTGGGTCTATTTTTTGTTTCCATGTTTTTCTGCACGATAACTCAAAAAGCCTAAAGTATGCTGCAACAAAACTCATGGATAGAGTTTTTGTGATATCCAGAATTGGTATAAATTTTGCATATCAAATGAGCTTTCGCGCGTTCTGATTGGCTAGTTGACTAGTAAATCTGACGCATTATTTACCAGCAGATTAGCAAGTAATGCTTTCCAATAAGAATGATTCGGCAGAATTGGTTTCAAAATCGACAAAATATTGAAAATATCGTGCCCAGAAAACGAAAGAAGCACAAAATGTTGTACTTAACTTGAAAGGTAGGATTCCTTAATTATTTTACTGTGTCAAACATATTCACGGACAATTTAATACTTATTTAAAACTTCGAAACATTCACTTCAAATAACTGGACAACTGTGGATAGCTAAGCATCAGTTGCACTGTGCTGATGGGGCCCCAAAATGGCAAAAGTTAAACAGCTGTCCAACAAACAATTCATTAATGTTCTGTTGATTTACAGATACCATATTATGCCCAAACATTGTGCTGACAAAAGGTCAACATGCAGTGCTAAGATGCAAAGCCACTGCCAAAGAATTCGTGTATGCGCTGATGAGCATGTTGTGAATACGGGAGGTTCTATGCAACCACTCCATAAACTGGAAAGGCTTCCAATGCATTCAAGCAAAAAGACGCTAAGCCTCCGCTTGACCAAGACAAAGTCAAGAGTTTATGTGGTAAGGTGTTGTGAGTATTTTTAACAGGGCAGTGACATGTAAAAACTCTAGTCTACAGTTCGCCAAAATCCGAACACGTGTTTATGGAAAACAATGTTTAATATAGCTTCGAAAAGTCTGTGAAAGTGTGAGTTAGTAATGATCATTATTGTACTGAAGTAAGACAACAAGCCACACATTTAAATTTATTTTTGTCTGCTTTTCTTAATGTAGAGTATACGATGCAAAAAAATTTGGGTGCAGAGAAACGGGAGTGAAGCAGATAATGACGTCCAGAATAAATAACATACTGTCAAAGTGGAGAAAGCAAAACAGAAGACATGTGAAAAATGAACAGTATTATAAACAAATCTAGCTCATCCATATTATTTTTATATTATCACTATATAGTTATTTCATGCATAAAATAAATTGAAATCACTTTAACGTTTGAATGGCAATTGGTATGAAATTTATGGTGTTTTCATTTTTCATGGATAGCGGAAACTACTTATTAAACATTTTCTAATAAACGGCAAAACATGGTTTGTAGCACATCCCACACCAAATTTATAGTACGTACTAGAGAATATTATTATATAGGTTGTATAGAACCTTCTATAGTATATTCTATATATTTTGTTTACACTTTGTTATTATTAAATCCATCTAATTGGTTTATTTTTTTGTCACGTGATGTTTTCATACTCTTAGTATAAAAGCCCGTGCATTTTCCCCATCCCTGCTACTAACTCTTGACGGAGGGCCTTCGCTCGAAACGTCGAGTTTCTGCTTATTTTTTAAGGTTGTAATATAACCACTCAGCACAGCATTTTCACATTGGTACTACCTACACTGATACAGACAGTTTTAGTATATATTCTATAGAACCTTCTATAGAACATTCTATTGAACCTGCTATAGTATATATCCTATAGAATTCGTATTGAACCTTCTATACTAGTATACTTGTATCTTATATAATTCCTATTGAACCTTCTATAGTCTATTCCATAGAATATTCCATAAAATAAGTTCCAAAAATCTACTAGAATATTCCATAGAATATCCAATAGAATATTTCAATGTAATATTCTATAGAATATTTTTGTAAGGGCTGTTGGTGAGGATGCCTTTAAAAGCTAGGGCACTACCATCTTTTACTTTTAAATTGCTTTATCGCCAAAACTGTGAAATTTAGTCGTCATGCATGTCCATGCATAAGGGCTAAAGACAACCCTGGTCTAAGATTACTGTACACTCAAAATTTCCATCTACAAAAAACCCTCAACAACTAGTTCTATTGAATGTAATGCCCGAAATCCTAATATTTACAGTATTTTTTTACTTTTTTGTGTACAAATTTCTCCACTATTGGTCACAAATTGTTTTTTTGTTGGGTAGGAAAACACTTTATACCTGGAAATAAACGTGATGATATACAGGTATAATAAATAATTTCATATACAGTACAGTAGTTATCTGTATGTACATGTATGCCCATCAGATAACACCTACTTACTACCAGTAAATTATCTTAATCTATTTGGCTGATTATGATCATACAGTGATTATGTGACATTGAATGGTAATACTTTAATTGCGCATTGTTTGTTTGACTGTTTTGAGTATTTATTATGTAATTAAACACAATAAATAATTCAACAGTGCTTCAGCAGTCAGCTAATTATAAACCTGACATACACATCACTAACCCAAAAAAGGCAAGACTCTCCCCTTGACAAGTAAAATCGTCTGGCATTAGACAAAGTACTGAATAATAGTGTAGGGCACATTACAGCTACCGTACAGTAAATGGGTTAACAAAACACATTGGAAGATTGTTTGCCTAAACCATTAAAGCACAAGACTCTCCCTTTGACAAGCAAATGTGACAATGATAAAGATGGTGGTGATGATGGTACGTTGTGTGGTAACAATGGTAATAATGATGATAACGATGGTGGTGGCGATAATTATGATTGCAGTGGTGCGTAGTGAGTGCCAGTATTCTCCCCTTGACAAGTAAAAATCATCTGACGTTAGAGGGTAAAATCCTATTTGGCCGCTAAACTGTTTAGATGCAGGTTTATTAGCATAGCATCACCAGTTAAACATGGCTAGCCTCGCCACCAGTTAACTAGACACATGTGCAGATAGTCGGATTAATCCATTGAGTGGCACCTCTCTCCCCATGATGAGTAAAATCGTCTAGCATTGGAAAGACTAAAATAATAAAGTACGGTACACTTGGGCACATTGCAGCTTATGGTTAATGGACTCAGTATTTCAGCAAAAATCCAGCAGCCACATTGGAGGAAATTTCTACCATCTGGAGGGGTATATGGGATAATCCACTTCTAAACATAAAATGTTTCAGGACTGGGGAGGGGGTTAACTTCCAATTTCCTCCATGGGGAAGGTGTGGACATGTTATGCATATAGAATGACCAAATATAAAGTAAAAAGTAATTTTCTTGCTATTAGTGTAGTGGTTAGGGAGTGCAACTACCTCCTATATGGATGTCGAGGGTTCGAATTCAAGCACTTTTTCTTAAAACTTTTTTCTGACGAGTGTTAACTTCTAAGGTTGTAAGGGTTGTTTATTTTACAAAACTTTTAAGTTAATAATTCATAGTACAAAACATGACGGGCACTCCGGTTCTTTCAAGACATTGTCCACTAATAATAAAGTATCACAATGTAAAACAAATAAAGAAAATTCCCATTCATGCAATGGTAAGAATATCTTCATTTGGCATGATATGAAATGTTGGCTGCATGCAACCTTGTTGAAAAGAATTAAAGCTGGGTTACAGTCCATTCTGCGCATGTCTCAAATGTGTACACATTTTGTAAACATTGTGATAGATTAAATATTACGTAATACTAACTGTTAGCATTTCAGAGAAGATGGCTGACGCACAGGAGTGCCAAAATTCTAATTGTTTTTAACTCGCTTATATATTCACATCAAAGCAAGAAATACTGTCAAAAAAGAAACTTTATATCTAAAAAGATGTATCTAAAGTGTGTTTTTACGAATATTAGTTATTCCGTTGTGCAATTGTTTCAAAATCAAATAGAAACTAATGTGTATGAAGCCGCTTGTGTATCTTGCTCGGTGAAACTAAACGTGAAAGTATTTTGTGGTGTTGGATTGGCAAAATTAAATTATACAAAATAATATGAAATCTCCCCAGTCATTGGATAAGCAAGCTCTTGTTACAAACGGAAATGCATATCAAATATCAGTTTCAACACGCTACAGCAAAGTTGACAATGGCCGACTCGCGACCATCTACTTGACAGTTTCAAAGGCGAATCCTTCTAATGCATTTCTGGTCGCCAGAACCAACCAGGAAATCGAAAAGAATATTTCGCGAAAAGGTATGCATCGAAATTGTAGTATTGGTCGGTGGAATAATTTCAAAACTGAAGCTGGAATCAAAAGTGACGAGGCTTCGCGAATACTCTGCTGATCGAGCTTGTATACAGATTTAATTGTTTATTGTGGTAAGTACATAACAGATATCCCTGGATATTTCAATTATGTTATTAAATATTGTTATATTTTGTCATTACAAAACTTTATTGTGCACTTATAGCGCTGTGAAAACCCAGACGGATCAGCAGACATACAAAACAATGCAGCCATGAGCCATTGCCACTTTGCCAGCTATGCAGACAATGTTCAGCAAGTATATGTTCAGCAAGTATATTTTCAGTATATGTTTAGCAAAGGAAACAGTGATGGAATCATGTAAAGATTCTTACTCCTAAGCAGTACGAATACATTATACAACTTACAATGAAGGTATGTATAACATTTTATGCTTTCCTGAATCCTGATGAGAAAAAATATGACTTTTGGTTTTTATTGTGAAATCCATTTTCTTATCACATTTTCAAACAAATCTTTTGATCATTCTGTAGGCATGTTATGGGCACAGTAGCACCTGCTGATTGATACGTTTAAAGCATTAATTAGAGCACTTAAATGTTTTTTTTGAAGCCAAATTTTGATTTGAATGAACATGCAGACGCAGTAATAAAATCAAAATTTGGCTTCATTAAGTGCTTTTAAAACACATTGCTCAGCAGGCACTAATGTGCATTTAAACAGGAATAAAACTAATTATAAGCCTTCTTTAGGTATGGGGATTGGTATTGGAAGTGATGACCGAAGGCAAAGTGCCCCTAACATAGCC